AGAGGGAGAGAGGGGCTGGTGGTAACCCACCTGGATATGGCCGCTGCTTCCTTCGCTTCCTCCCAGTGCTGCGACCCTTGGCTCCTTCGTGCTGCTGTTAGCAGCTGCACGGGATGTGGCTGAACGTTGAAGTGGGGAGCTGCTTCCTGTTGCAGTGAACACGAGAAGAGGCGTACGAGACGACGACGACGGCGACGACGAGATACGGCGGTCGTGAAGGACTGCGTGGCGTCGGGGCACCAAGGTCGACTGCCGGGCTGGGGGCCGACGTGGGGCAGGTTCGAGCAGTTCAAAAAATGAACTGCTTGGATCTCCCCGCTCTTTTTTTTTTTTGCGGGGGCATTCGCGGCCTCAAAAAAAAATTCTTTTTTTTTATGAGCCGGCGGCGCGAAGTCCCTACCGGGCATACAACCCCCCCCGCCAACTTTCGTTTTTTTTTTGGACCCCTCGATTTGCCTGTGCGCCGCATGGCATACGCGCGCATCATGCGTGCTGCGTGGTGCGGCGCATGTGTGCGCTGCAGCGCATGCCGATGCGCCGCATGTATGGTTTTGATCGATTGATTGAGTAAAGCATACTTATTAGCCCCCAAAATCATGATTTTGACCTCACTGCCAAAAATTGATTCTTTTTTTTTTCTTTCTTGGATTTTGTTTTCCCGCTATTTCTGTTGTGAAAAATCGCAATAGCGCAACACCTGAAATTTCCGTTTTCGTCCTTTCTTCTGAGATTTCAAAATTTCGTTGTTAGAAATCCGGAATATTTTTTTTTCGAAAATTTCGATTTCCTTTTGCAATTTCCCGTTATTTGGAAATCCGGAATTTTTTTTTTTTTTTTTTTTGAATTTCCAAAATTTGTTTTTTTGAAAACGGTACGGGAAATCCCTCTTGCAGTTATCATTTTCCAAACTGCTCGTACTCTCATCTGAGTAATTCCGAATATTTTTTTTGTATTTTATTTTCAGAATTCTTTTATCGGATAATCATTTGCAGTTTGAAAGTTCGAAATTTTATCCTCATTAGTAATTTCGCACTTCAGGAAAACTGGGAGGCCTACTGAACTTGCAAATAACGAGTATTTTTTTTCTTTCTCTCGAATTTGTTGCAAAGTGCAAACTTTTCTTTTTTTATTAGTGGCTCCTTATCTGGGTGATTTATCCCACCCACCCCTCCCCACCTATGTTGTTGCCCCCTCTAGTCTTCTCTATCTCCGGGTACCCCCTGCGGCGGCATTGGTCAGTTGCCACATCAGCAGGCCACGCCAGCAGACCACGTCAGCAGGTCACGTCAGCAGGCCACGTCAGCAGGACACGTCAGCCGACAGCAATGCCACGTCAGCGCCAGGGAGTGCCCCGTCAGCAGTCCTCCGGGCTGGTCGATGCTCACGCGCTTACAGACAGCCGGTATGGATCAGAAGTCTGGGGAAACGGTCGAGGCCTATCAGGCCCGGATGCTGGCTTTGATTACCGAAGCCAAGAAACGGGCGGATGAGGTAGCAGCCGTAGAGAAAAAGAAGGCAGATGACGCCGAGAAGGCACGTCTGTTGGCATTCGAACAGCAGCGCTAGCAAGACGCGGCAGCAGCAAGGGCTGCCAATGAAGAACGAAATCAACGACGCGAGAAGATATTCAATGGAGAGCGAGCCTTGCTCACAATGGCAACGGACTGGCGGACTGAGGCTGAGAATGGTACGATGGAAGAGAGTGAAAGCAAGATCGCTCTACTCCTCTCCCATTTCACGGATCTCCTGGCAACGTGCATTGCACAGCAGGAGGACATCCGCAGCCTCGACGACGCGGTTCAGACGCACAACCAGGCGTTTGATCAAGTCAACAGCCGCCTCCAGCAGCTGGAGCAACGACCGCCGCCGCCCCCGATGCCAGCTTCTTCAACAACTCCGATCGCCTCAATTCATTAGAGATCGACATCGGAACCCTCAAGGACGACGCGCAGCTACAGCAAACCGCCACGCAACAACTGGAGCAGCAGATCTGTGTTGTCGCCGCCACACCGAATTCGGCACCGCGTGAGACGACTCCAAAGTTCGATGGTCAGGAGATCTTCTGCGATTCGACGAAGACGGACCTGATTTCGTGGTTCCGCAAGTTCGAGCTCAAGTTGCAGCTACACCACGTCAGCGAGAACCAGCATCACGCGTGCTTATACTCCCGGTTGAGGGGCGCGTGCCAAGCATGGTTGGACAATCTCTTGTCCAAGTATGGGGTGGTAGCTGTCGACTTGTACACCAAGATCAGCTGGGATGGTCTAAAGGCGGCGTGGCATACGCGGTTCCAAGTAGAGCCGCCGGGGATCAAGGCAATGGACAAATTAATGACCTTCGAACACGGCATGCTGCCGAGTGTTGACTGGGTTGCCGAGTACCAACGCTTGACATCCATCCCAGACATTCAGATGGGCTTCAAGGCCGTCAAACACTACTTTATCTCGAGGTCGTGTCCGGCATTGGGCAACGCCTCGACTCACGTCAAGGACACCCTGACGACAACGGTGGAGCTCTTTGACAAGGCCGCACAGATCATTGTCACGAACAAGGAGGATAAGAACCTCAACCGTTCGTCTGCGACAGGCCCGAGCAGAGATTAGCATTGGCTAAAAGTGGTCGTGGTCGTGGTGGCAATGCCAATCGACCCTTCTAGCGAGGCCGTGTCTGCCAATGAAGGGGACAGACTCGCAGCCGCCCGGGATGGTGGCTGCCCTGGCAAAGGCCGAGGACGCGGCAAGACGAAGACAAACACCGAATCTATCCCCGGGCCCGGTGCAACAGCTCCAGCCTCATGGTTCCACTACGGTTTATCCGAACGGGCGTACAAGCTACGCACGAGATTCCGCTATTGTCTGTGGTGTAACATCGATCTCCACGACACAGTGGGCTGCCCGTCGAAAGGCAAAGGCAAATCGGGAAACTGAGTACCGCCGGGAGTGAATCGACAACACTCTCGACGCCTTCGGAACCGGTCGCTTCGCGGGTGACCGCCCTTCGTTCCGAGGCACATGCGGAAGTCGATAGTCCTCCTCTTCTATATTCTTATGAGGACTATGCTGCCCGGCTCGTTCCTACGTTGGGTACTCATGCTCAAGGACAAGACGTGTGTGCGACATCTTCTCCGTCCGGCAGCGGCGACTCATCGTCTTCAAGTGGTTCTTCACGGGATTCGGTGCGCGGGTTCAACATACAGGTCTTGGATCCGCTCACGTCAGAGGATATCGCATGGCTTCCTCTCCTGACCACGGGGCGCTTGCCGGGACCGCAATGCGCAGCATTATGTGCTCATCTTCACACGTATCTATCCTTCTGTGCACCACCAACTTCGCCGACGGATGACGAAGCTGCGGTGGGGGACATCCTTGCGTATGTTACCAAGGTCGCCCGTGAGTTTCGCAAACAACGGTACAAGGGCAACAACGCACCGCTCCTCTATGTCTGCATCCAAGTTGGGTAAGCGTCCTACAACGCTTTGTTGGATAGCGGCGCGTCTCGCAATTTCATGAGTCGAGCCTTTATGCAAAGGGCTGGCCTTGGCGCACAAGTTCAGAGGAAGGTAAACTCGACAGCGATCAAGTTGGCGGACAGAAGGACGCAACAACTTATCGATCGTTACATCGAGGCCGTACGCACCTCATGCATGCGAACCGGTGACGTTCGACATTTTGGACACGGACTTCGATATTATTTTGGGAATGCCTTGGCTTGCAAGTGCGGATCACACGGTCAACTTCCACCGGCGGACTCTTACCGTTCGGGACGCCTTCGGCACTGAAGTGCCGAGTACTATTCCTCTTCTCCACCCTTCGATTCGGTGCCAAGTGGTGACGGCCAAGTCGTTCCGGGCTACTTGCGCTTACGAGCAGCCCGACGAGATAGGCTTATGCTTCCTACGGACCGTCGCGGTAGCCGACTCTTCACCCACGGACTTGTCTTCGAACCCCTGTGTGGTGCGGTTGCTTGACGAGTTTGCCGACATCTTCGTCACCTACTGGTGTGGTGCCGGATCGGCCGATCTCTCACAAGATTATTCTTGAGGCCGGTGTCATGCCGCCGAAAGGTTGCATTTACCGCATGAGTGAGGAGGAGCTTACGGTCCTCCACACGCAACTCGATGACTTGTTGGACAAGGGCTGGATCCGCCCTAGTAGCTCCCCATATGGAGCGCTGGTTCTCATCGTACGGAAGAAGAACAAGGATCTACGATTGTGTATCGACTACCGCAAGCTCAACGCGCAAACCGTCAAGAATGTGGGGCCTCTTCCTCGTATTGACGACCTCCTTGAGCGATTGGGTGGTGCAAAGTGCTTTTCTAAGTTGGATTTGAAGTCGTGATATCATCAGATTTCGATTCGGCCGAACGATCGCTATAAATCCGCGTTCAAGACGCGGCATGGACATTTTGAGTGGGTGGTCATGCCTTTTGGCCTCACCAACGCCCAGGCGACCTTTCAAACGGCAATGACCAACGAGTTTCGTGCGATGTTGGACCGGTTCGTGCTGGTCTACTTAGACGACATTCTCGTCTATAGTCAGACATTGGAGGATCGTCTTGAGCACCTTCGACGAGTGTTGGAGACGCTCCGCCACGCCAAGTACAAAGCCAACCGCAACAAGCGCGAATTTGTCCAGCAAGAGCTGGAATACTTGGGCCATTTTGTCACACGGGAGGGCATCAATCTGTTGTTCGACAAGATTCAAGCCATCCAAGAGTGGCCGGAGCCGCGTAACATCATGGATGTCCGTTCGTTCCTTGGCCTTGCCGGCTACTACCAACGCTTCATCAAGGGATACTCGAAGATCGCGGCCCACTTGACCAAGCTTCAATGCGAGGATCGGCCGTTTGACTTCGGAGAGAATGCGGGGGAATTATTTTTGGCTCTCAAAGCCACGCCATTATCTGCGGAGGTCTTGCACATATACGACCCGTTATTGCCAACGCGCTTCACTATGGATGTGTCCGGCTATGGCATTGGTGAACAACACGATGGCGTAGACTGGCACCCGGTTGAGTACTTCAGCAAGAAAGTGTCCGTTGTGCACTCCATTGATGATGCACGCAAGAAGGAGCTCCTAGCCTTCGTCCACTCGCTCAAGCGATGGTGGCACTTCCTCCTTGGTCGAAGTCAATTCCGATGGGTAACGGACAACAATCCGTTGGTCTTCTACAAGACCCAAGACACCGTCAATAGCACCATCACCCATTGGATGACTTTCATCGACCAATTCGACTTCTTTCCCGATCACATTCCAGGGAAGTCTAACCGCTTTGCGGATGGTCTTTCACGACGTCCGGATCATTGTACCGCAGTCTATTCGACCTTCGAGATCGACCACGATCTGCGGGACAGTTTCATCCGCGGCTACCAAGTCGACCCCAAGTTTCACGACAAGTACGCGAATTGCTCCTCTCCTAATCTGGCGCCTTCTCTTGTCCACACGCGGGGGACGGACCTTCTTTGCGTGCCCAGTGACTCTCACTTGTGTACACGGCTTCTTGGCGAGTTCCATGATGCTCCCGCCACCAGACATTTTGGAGTCAATCGAACGATTGGCCGACCCGGCCTTCTCGGTGACGTCACACGCTATCGTGAGTCATGCGAGGTTTGCCGACGCTGCACATCCCGCAACCATCTTCTGTACGGCAAGTTGCGACCATTACCGGTCCCCTTGCGCCGAAGTGAAGTGATTGCCATGGACATTACCGGGCCATTCCCCAAGCACAAGACCGGTGTGGATGGATTCTCACGGTGGTCGACCAACTCACCAAGTGCGCCATGTTTTTGCCTTGCCGCTATCATGCCAAGGCACCGGAGTTGGCCGAGGTTCTTTATGTCGGTTGGATTCGAACCAAGGGTTACCCCAAGGACATCGTCTGCAACCGCGACACTCGGTTCATGTTCGATTTTTGGTTGGCGCTCGGCTCGCCACCCCCAAACTGATGGCCAAACAGAGAGGGCGCATCAGACCGCACAGGTTCTCCTTCGCACTCTCATCCGTCCCGACCAAAAGGATTGGGTTGAGTGGCTGCCGGATGTCGAGTTGCCAGATGTCGAGTTGGCATACAACTCGTCCATCGACCCGGCTATCGGGATGTCGCCCTTCAAGTTCGAGCACGACTCGCTGGTCACTTCTTCATTGGACACAATCATTCCACGAATGGTCGAGAGTGACGACCATCTTCTTTTCTTGCGTCGGATGCAAGAGCTACTTGTCAAGGCACGCGACCAGATGGCTAAGACGCAGCAACGCATGAGCCAACAGGCCAATCGCCAACGTCTTCCTTGTCCATTACGAGCCAGTGATCTCGTTTGGGTGTCCGCCGCGGAATTCAGCCTCGAACAAGCTCCTCCCGAAATGGATGGGGCCCTGGCCGGTCGTGGCACCTGTTGGGGATGCACCCGAAGGACCTTCCTTCAGCATTCAGGTGCCCGTCCACTTGCCCGTCGACCCGGTCTTTCATTGCTCCAAGTTGGCTCTTTACACGCCGGCGGAACATGACGAGTTTCTCGGGCGCCGATCGCAAGACCCACCCTCTATGGACGGTTTTCAAGAGGTCGGCCACATCATCTCCCAGCGACGCCACGACAACAGGCCGAACGAGTACTTGGTACACTTTGCCTACTGCACTCACAAAGCTGACCGTTGGTTGACCCGTGCGGAACTCCAAGCAACAGCTCCAGATGCTCTCGCACGCTACGAACGCAAGATGCAAGGCAAGCCAGTCTCATCGGCTCCACATCGCACCCGCGTCCAGGTTCCACCTTCAGATCGTCAGCTTCGCCCTCGACCCGGCTTGACTTCATAAGGAGGGGGGGTGTTACATGTTGCGCCTACAACAAGGGTCATTTTCAGGCCCCGTGTCGTTTCAGCCTAAAAGCCTGAAAACAAGGGCCTACAGGCCCTATGTCATTTCAGCCTGAAAGCCTGAAAACAAGGGCCTACAGGCCCTGTGTCGTTTCAGCCTAAAACAGGGCCCTCCAGGCCCTGAGTCTTTTCAGCCTGAAACGGAGGGCCATTTTCAGGCCCTCATAAGATTGACCTGCCCTGAAACTCAGGCACCAGACCAGGGTTTTAG